ATGTCGCCCCCCGCCGCCTGGGGGCCGGGGGAGACGGGGAGCAGCTTTTCTCGCCCTGGAGGACGGGGGCGGCGGACCGCGGTGCATCTGGGCGTCCCGCCGCTCCCATCCTCTGGGGCGAGAAAAGCCCCGTTCGTAACTGCGGATAAGTCGGATCCGCGTAACTCGGGGACTGCCTGTATAGCGGAAAAAGTGATGGGGGTTATTGAGGAAAGCAACCTAAATGAGTTAACTGATTTGTCAATTTCACAAGCGTTCATTTTTTTGATTGTATCATTTTGGTATATATGGTTGTGCCGATTTTCTTCTACATAGGGGCGAGAAAAGCCCCGTTCGTAACTGCGGATAAGTCGGATCCGCGTAACTCGGGGACTGCCTGTATAGCGGAAAAAGTGATGGGGGTTATTGAGGAAAGCAACCTAAATGAGTTAACTGATTTGTCAATTTCACAAGCGTTCATTTTTTTGATTGTATCATTTTGGTATATATGGTTGTGCCGATTTTCTTCTACATATTGATCTGAGGAAGTAAGTCTGGCCCACGAAAGCTCATCACCTAATAAACCATTTTGTTAGTCTTTAAAATGCTACATAGTTCTGTCTTTTGTTTCAGCTACACCAGATTAACACGGCTGCATCTCTATCACTATTCTAAATGAGTTAACGATATAATACTCTTGAAATACTATCCATAGGACCACTACATATCTATGAAGGATAAAATTTGTTGATTTAAAGAACATATAAGCAACCCTGATATTTATTTTTAAGCTGATGTTCCAGTTAATGGCATTTTATTTCGAGTCAAAGAAATTTCTTTGTTCTATAAAGATAGCAACACAAGTATGTAAATCACAACATTATGTTGCACCTTCCAGATATTAATTTATTATTTGCAAACTCCAGTCTCAGTTAGTCTAACTTTAAACCTAAATTTTGTGATTGTCTGGCATTTTCTTTGCTAGGTCTTGGTTTATGAACAACTGTAATAGATTCTTTCAAATTCTCATCTATATTTATTTTCCCATAACAAAGACTGCAGGGTACTTGTCACTGTTTATTTGAATATTATATAATTTATACACAGTTTACTTTTTACCGTGCAAATAGACTAATCACTGCATGTGACCCAAGGCATATTTTTTGAACAAGAAATGCTACTGAAAATGCCAACAAATATAAAAAAAATCCTCACAACCATTTTTTAATATATAAGGATCTAACAGCTTGACCCACACAATTAAATCAATAGAAAAGCCTTCAGAATCTGAAATGGTTAGTTATTGAGTTATCTGAATTTCCATTAACTCCAATGGAAAAACGTTCTTACAGAAAAAAAAAACCCCACTGTAAGAGCTTTTCAAAGATCTTTTACTGAAATCAGTTCAAAATTTCTTCAATTAGCCTCATGTCAAATAGTATTTTTAAAATGTGGATATTTGAGATCTCAGCGGAACATGTCAGATTAGATCTCCAAAATGTTGTCTCTTAATTTCTATAAATTATTCACTGGAAAGTTATTAGAGACCCTTTTGTAACTTATGCCCTTGGGACTTCATCTTGCACCCAGTTAATTTAAGGGAAAAAACTTCTATTAGCTTTAATGGTGCAGGATCATGCCCTTAGTGAGGTGGAAACTAGGAATTTATGTAAACTTTTTTCAAAAATATTAATCATTTGTCCAAAATGGATCAATAAAACATTACACCACAGTATTGAGAAATTTACAAATAACTAAAGTTCCAAAAATAAATTAGTTTATTAAAATTTAGTAGACAAAGAACCAGTGCACAAATAAAATTAATTATATCTGTCTCAATCTTCTAACATATTTTACACATTTTGTAAAAGTTTTTAAATATTGAAAGAGATGGAGTATTTTCAGGATTTTAAAGTTCTGAAACCAATTTTAAGGACAAGAAGTTCTATAGTGAAAAAACTATATGTATTATAATTAAAGAAATATAGTCTCTTTGTAATCAAGAGTTCACGCTTCAAGAGTTACAATTGCTGTGCACAAAATAGAATTAACAAGGAAGGTACACAAGTATTCAAAGCTTAAGAGAACTAAATACAGCACACATATCAGGACACAAAATGAATGAGTACCTCCTATATGATTAATATCAGCAATCTCATTTTCAGTATGTCACAAAGCAATACACTAGTCTGAACCATGCATCCTAAAATAAAACCTTTTAATTTTAATAGATTTTACTATTACACATATTTGAAAGAGCAGATCTTTTTACTATGTAAGTATAGTTATGCATTTTGACATGCTGACAAATTTCAGGCAAAGCACCTATATATTTTCTTGACAGATGCAATACCTAAGACATTTGTATTTTAATAAACAAAAATCATGGCAGCAATCTTTTGGATTCTGCATAACACGTATACTTAGTTTTGACAACCAAGAGACATTGGTAATTTTCCAAGCACATAATCTATTCAAACCAGTTTTCCTTTAATAGAAAATGTACTGCATCATCAAATCCATTTTGGTAAAGTGATTCCATCTTCTTCTGGCTTGGTGGGAATAAAGCTTGATTAAGTCTTACCAGGTTGGCCACCGACAACTGCAACAAAGAAGTATTTTAAGTCAAATAACTGTGAAGACAAACTATTATATTTGATTTCTTGTTTTCTCTGTCTTTTTCTATCCTCTAACACTCTTCAGGATAGATAAATGATGTTTCCTAAAATCTAAGACTATTCAAGACACCAGCTGATCATCCTAATAGTGTAAAGATGTGTTTATGTGTAGATAATTTAATTAATCCAGTAAGAAATAAAACTAGAAATAACATTAAATTCAATAGTGAATATTATTAGCTTAAATAATTAAATCATTGAATATATATTTTATTTCCTACACATTAAATAAATAGTGCAGTACAATTATAAAATAAAATTACCTTTCATTTCAAATAAATAATCAAATGTTTCAACTATGGAATAATCAAGTCTTTGTTGCCTTATCTAAGTTGAATAGGATAGTTCAAAACTTCCAGAACTATTGTTCCAGGCTGTCTGCAGATTCAGACACATATTCAGCCATATGGAGTGGAAATCCATCAACTACACAAAGAAACGTGCACAGATCCAAACAGACATCATCTTCCTATCCAAGTGCAAAACTATCCAATTTGCTATTTTTTTTTCTTTTCCTCCCTCCCCCACCCCTTCCCTTATTTATTCTTGGATCTGGACTTCTAATACTCCAGTCATCTGAGGAAGTGGGTTGTACCCACAAAAGGTCATGATATCATCTATATGTTTTGTTAGTCTTTAAGGTGCTGCTAGACTTTTCATTTTTTAAATGATCAGCATTGTCTCTGTATCAAGATAGAAACTGATTCAAGGGATACTTGAGATTCTGGAACACAACTGTGGAGCAGGAGGTGACGTCAGTGGGAAACTCCACAGATGCAGAATCACAGAAAAAAAGAGTCCTCCAAATAAGCTCTTTAGCATGTATGGAGGAAGCACCAAATTTTATTTATACCATCTCTGATAGATGACTCAGTTGATCAATATCATCTTATTTTCTAGATGGATTCTTGGTGAAATATTGCAGCTTATTCATTAGAAAGCATTTTTCACTTTTATTTGGTAGTAACCATTTCTAACAATGCCTTTTGCACCTGAACTCGCTTAAAATTCCGTATCCTTTTGTTAATAAACTTGTTTTACTTTCAATCTATACTAAACCACTACTGTGTTTGGATCAACATGATTTCTAGCATCTGTTAAAGAGATAAAGCCATGCATTTGTATCTTCAGAGGAACAAAATATACATTATTCCATTGAATGATCCGGGGAAGAACTGGACATTGCAGAGAACATGTTTTTGGGAAAAACAAATTGGGGAGGAGTGTTGGGGTCATTTTGCAATTTATAACTAAAGCTGGGGTTTAACTGCAGCAGGCTTCTGGAATCCGAGTTGCTGGTTCAGAGCTGCTTATTACAGGATCCTCGATGCATGGTTTGTCGGTATTCAGGCTTAGCCTCATCAGCAGAGCATTTAAGGGTTATGGGCAATTGACAACAAATCCCTCACTGGTCTGGCTTGCAGTATAATAGGAACAAAAGAAATCACTGAAATGTGTACTACCCCCTGCTGCCTTGTTCCTAGATGAATATGGTAAAATCATTAATAATGATGTAGAAAAGTTCCATAAATATTCTTGTTCTGTATTTTGAAAGAAAGGGGATGAAGTAATCATTTCACATGTTGATGGTGTACTTTCCAGCCCATTAGTAACAAAGGAAGTTAGTCAAATATAATCATCCAGGAATTTTTGAATTAGCAATCACAAATAACTTGACCCCATGTGTCCTGAAAAGTTGGCTAGGGAGATCTCTGGCCCACTGACATAAGTCTTGTTAGAGGGGGAAAATTCATATAATTGGAGGAGTGTTAATGTTGTGCCTATACTCAAAAAGGGCAAATGGACAGGTAACTATAGATAGTTAGCCTGATCCCAGTCAAAATAATAGAAAATTGAAAATGATATTCAAATGATAAAGCATTACAATATTGGAATATAAATATTGATAGTCCACATGGTTTTACAGAAAGTATGTCTTTTCAAACAAACCTGATTTCATTCCTAAAAGAGCTTATAAGTTTAGTTGATAAAATTAACTTTACAGGCAGTCCCCGACTCACGCGGATCCGACTTACGTCAGATGCGCAGTTACGAACGGGGCTTGCCCCGGAGGACACGGACTGCGGGACCTCGCGGTCCTGCCGTCCGTGTACTCCGGGGCTTTCTCCGCGTCTCCCTGGTCTGCAGACCAGAGAGACGCGGAGCAAACCCCGTTCATAACTGCGGATCCAACATAAGTCAGATCCGCGTAACTCGGGGACTGCCTGTACTCTAGAATGCTCCGATAAGGCGCACAAAAGCAACTCACTAGTGAAGAATTTTGGTGCCATCCCTCTGGAAAATTCAAGCTATATCACTACATGCCCTTTCTAAATTTAATTTAGAATTGGCAGCATGAGTTGCAGTTATACAGTTTTAATGATAATCCAATTGCTTATTACAGATTTTGATATTTCTAGAGAGTTATCAATTAGCATTACAGTAAAATCCCTGGCTACAGTCTGGTCCTGCTTTGCCAAGCAGTCTTAATATTCACAAAGTAATGTTATTCAAAATAAGTGAGACAGGAGACCGAGTTCCCTATATACCATTTGTTTCAGATAACTTTTGGAAATGTCTCGGATACATTAGCAACTCAAAAAATGGTGTTTCGAAATTTTAAATGATTGACTACTTTTATAAATGGTTAACAGATGCCAGTCTCCCAATGTTCCTTAATATTGTTTCATTCAAACTGAAAAAAATCCTCATTGCTAATTTGCTATTTAGTGACCCACATGCCATCTCTCATCAGGTTTTCTCTCGTCTACTGTTCATCTCCTCTCCTACATACATTTTCTTTGCTACCTCACAATCCTACTTGACCTCTCCCTACCCAGAGCCACTAGAATGGGGTTTTGGACAAGAAAAGAAAAATGCTGTCTCTCTCTTAAAGGCACTTAGGTAGTACTCCAGAAATCTGACTACTGTTTCCAGATCTGCCGCATACTTCCTGTAAGACGTCTGTGATTTTTTAGTTCCCATCTGTAAGCAATGACTTTCCTTCCACAGAGGGATGTCCTAACATGCCTTAAAGGTATGGACAAATAGCCTGAATATATTTTGATTTGTAACATTTGACTTAATACTGCTCCACATTCTGATGAAAAATTCACAGCACACATTATCAATAAAGTAGACATTAAGTGTATTAAGATTTGGCTAACTGGGGAATTCATGTTGAATGGGACATTTCTAGTAGATTTCTGCAGGGATAAGAACTAATCCAGACACTATTCAACATTTCATTGCTGATCTGGAGGTAAATAAAAAATCACTGCTGATAAAATTTGCATTTAATACTAAAACTTTCAGGGTAGTAAATAATGAGAAGATGGCAATTATATCGAATAATCTGGATCTCTTCATCAGTGGGCCTATTCAAACCAAAGGTGTTTTAGTACAGTCAAAAGGAAGGTAATACTTCTAGGGAAAAAAAAGAACTGGGAACATGGCTATACAACAGAGCTGGGTACTGTATCCTGGAAATTAGTGACTATGAAAATGATATAGAAACAATTCAGCATGAGTTTGCAGTACCATGCTTTGGCAAAGAGCTTGTGTGTTCCTTGAATGTATAAACAGGCAGTATTGAGTATCGAAGTGACTTTAGCTGTGTATACATGCAAGATATACTATAATACTGCATTCAATTTTGTGTCCACATTTTAAAAAAGATATTGAAATGCTGGAGAGCGTGCAGAAAAAAGCCACAACATTTATGAGGGCTAGAGAAAAAGTCTTACAGTGAGAGACTAAACAAACTTTACCTGGTTAATTCATCAAAAATAAGATTGAGGGGTGACATCATTATAGTACACATGCAGCCATGTAGCTAAAATGTAGCTTTATGCAATGTAATGTGTCTCAGTGTACCCTGCCAGCCACCCTTTCTGAAAGCAGAAAGGACTTTTATCTTACTATTGGTAAAGGTACACCAGCCAGAATTTTGTGTCTGAACCTGATTCTAAGGTAGGAATAGATTATTATGGCTTTTGTTTTACATTTTAAAATTAGTATTGTGAAATAAATAAAAGGGTATGATGATTGTTTTCTTTAAATTGTGATTTGATGTTCTTGTACATATTGTGTCTGTGTAACAAAGAAATCAATTCTGTTTTGTATGTGTGAATTAGAAGTGTGTTAGAAGTTAAGTGTTAAGGCCATCACCAGGCCAGATGTTTTAGGGAGAAACCAAGGACAGACGTAAAAGTGCCAGGTGATGGCTGCATATCCCTATCGAGATGTGGATGAAGGGCAGATTGATGAGGCTAAAAGATAAGGCAAGCATCTATCAATTGGGACAAAATAGCTGTGATATGAAAACAAGCACTGGTCAAACTACAATTAATTAGAGCATGATGCTGTGAAACTTACTGATCCCAGTGAAGGAAAACTGCTATAAAAATGAGCTGCTTTGTCATAAATTTTGGATACATCCTGCCAAGACTGAAGCATCGGCCCAGAGCTATGGAGCCCTGCTCATATCCATGATCAATCTGGTTGGCCACCAGAGAGACATGGACCGTAGACAGGTAAATATAATATCAACTGGTGGGTCAGTGTGTGTGTTTGTCTAGAAGCAAATGCTAGCTGCTTTACTACTATATTCTTAATAAACATGGTGCATTGATTTTCCTCCTCCTAAGCACAACACAAGTGCAGAGACATAAAATACTTGGTACTAAAAGCTCTGTAGTCTAATGGAGAAAGGAATAACAAGAACCAATGAATGGATGCTGAAGTCAGACAAATGCAAATCTTTCACAGTATTCAAAGTAAGGGTAATTAACCATTGAAAATAACTACCAAGGGGATGACAGATTTTCCACCTCTTTAGGTCTTCAAGTCAAACCTTGAAGCCTTTCTGGAAGACATATTTTAGCCAAACACAATTTATGCTTTAGCCAAATCAAATTACTGGGTTCTTTGCAAGTGTAACTTGGTGAAATTTAATGACCTGTAATACATAGGCCAGATCAAATGATCTAATGACCTTATTGATCTATGAAAAAGGACTTTAGGCTTCATACACCTGGTAATTAACCAAACATAAGGTTACCGCCTGTTCAGGTTTTCCCATGATCATCCTTTTTTGATGTAGCTGTCCTGGACAATCTGTGAGTGTGCTCAATACACACTGCCAGCTGTCCTTTTTTGACATCCTGGATGTCTTGGATTTTTATACCTCAGAGGTAGCATTCCTTCTGGCATAGCTACTGCAGAACAGGTCCTTGTGTGGGCAGTGTTTTGGAATAAGAATCACATTATTCTGCTATAATTATTCCACTTTGAATGCTGTAGGACACGCTAATCTTTTCCCAGGCCTTTGCTGGAGAAACTGAACTGAGATAGGATAACTTCTATATCTTCTTCTACTTCTTTTTTAACATTGCTCTATAGTAAGGCATTTGTAGCCTATGCCCACCGAACACAAAATTTAATTTTTTATAAAGTAAAAATCCAAAACTTTGTTTTTTAAAATGCAACTAAAAATGTTAGGTACTCAACTCCATAAATGTCAATAGGTGTTGGGTACTAAACTCTCTAAACTGCTCTTGAAAAAAAATCACATAAAACTAAGTATAATCATTTTTATTTTTTATAGAGATCACAAAAAATAGCTAAAACAGGTCACTTACCATTAGGTCTTGCTTTGCAACTTTAATATAGAGATCAACATGTCCTATGTCTTGTGGACAGATATCTAATCGCCCACTAAAAGGAGACACAGTGAGTGTTCGTCCCACAGGTAGAATAGGCAGGCCATTGGTCAAGCCACCATCAATCCATTTCTATTGGGAAAAAAAAGCAAACTTTGTTACATGCTGACTAGAGCTGGGTGAAATTTTTCAGAGTAAATATTTTAGTAGTTGTAAATGCAATTTTGGTCGACCCAAAACAATTCATGGAATTTGCATGAGTTCAATGAATAGTTTTCTTCCTAAATATATTTTTCTGGATAGAGGAAGAAGCAGCCTTTCCCTTATAAGTGCTACCCAATACTTTGAGGGTTCACCTGGGATGTGGGAGACCCAGAGCTCATCTAAACTATGCTCGAGTGTCAAAAGAGGATACGCAAGTTCAGCAAGAATTCATTTTTTGAGGAAGAGCAGCTTTTCGACAAGGGGGGGGAGGTTCGCCGAAAAAGAGACGTCTAAACTACTCTCACTTTCGACAGTGAGACTGGAAGAAGATATGCAAATTCCTGCAGAGTTTGCATATCCTCTTTCGACACTTTACCGTAGTCTAGATGAGCCCGTAGGCTTAAATTTCCCATCAGCCTGGTACTGAGAGGGGATTTGAGCTTGTTCTCTCCCATTGCAGAGATGAACCTTATGCACTGGACCATGGGATATTCTGGGAGGAAATATGTGATAATCTCTCCGCTGTGTATAAACAATTAAGTAGTCACTGGAGCAGGTACTTGAATTTAGGAATCCCAGATCATAGATGAGTGTCCTAACTACCAAGCTACAGTAATATTTTCACAATGAACAGTAACTATGGCAGAAAGAGGATATCAGTTCTGTAGGATATTCATCTATGGGAGACTTGAAAAAGATTTAATTTGCCAATTATTTGGCAAGTTTTGAATTTAGTTCAACCCAAATCAAATATTTTTTCAAATTTTCAGACCTGCTAACAGACAGAAAAACCAAGTATTTGCCAGCTCTAGTGTTGAAAAGAGCTTAACCTTGATCACTGGTTCTTTGGATCACAATAAATAAATACGTAAATAAATAAAATAAAATAAAATTAAATTAAATTAAAAAAATAGTGTTGAATACATACTGTCTTTCTTAGCACACTATAAAAGCGTTATGTTTTTGTTAATATCCAATGAAACAAAATGCTAAAGTCTGAACAACACAAAGAATTCACTGTTCACTGGAGACACTGTAAACATGATTTACTTTATTAGTAAATGTTTGATATTCTGAACTTGTCTTGAAATCTTGACTCAGTGCTAATTTTGGTTTGTTTTTTAGTTAGCATATTAATATGAACACAGTAAAATCAGTAAAATAAAAACCTCAAAATGCCTCAGAGATTATACAAAATTTAGAATACTAATAATTATAATTTTGCATGCTTGTAGAGGTGTGCATGTACAATATATATAAACAAGAGAAATGTTTTCTGTATAAGTATGTGCAAGTATCAGTGAAACAACTCTAAGATATAGCAGGGCTTTATTCAGGTTAGACCTCGCTGGTCCAGCACCCTCAGGACCTGACTGGTCCTGAACGAGTAGATTTGCCAGACCAGAGGAAGTCCTTCCCCTCCTGGCCTGTGCTGCCACTAGGCTCCAGCCTGCCCCTGCTTCTACCCCAGCTCTCTAAATGCTGCCAGTCCCACTACTGCTAGGGAGAAGTATCATAGCTGGAGCTCCACAGCCAGGATAGAGCTTCACAGCCACCTGGTTCCGTGGCTTTCTTAGCCATGCTGCACAGCCAGGGCTGGGGTGGAGAGCCAGGGCCGGAGCTCCACGGTCACTGCTGGGGCCAGAACTCCCCGTTGTGCCACCTGTTTCATTCCCCCTCCCCTACACACACACACACTGGCAATGTAAAAGAACACGTCTACTTCACTCATGAGACTTCTCATCTCCAGAGAAGCAGCTCATTGGTACCTATCATAGAAAAAGTGTTTAGTGTCATAGTGCTCTAATACAACTCACCATCAAACTAGTATCAAGTGTGTATGTACCAATATACATTTGGAGGTAGATTCATGGTTCTCAAACAAATAATTGAACACTGACCAGAATGTATACATCAAAAGTCCAGTATTAACTATTAAAACAACAATTGAAATAATCAATTTAAAGGTAAACCACTAGATGTAAAAAAAAACCCCACTGTTACATAAAGCACTCAGCAATCTTTAAAAAATATAATATAGTATGCCATTTATTCTTTGCCTGCCCAACACCAAGACAATTTGGATAACACCATTCAAAGGACAAAAGCACATACATTCTGCCTACAAAAATCAATGACAAAGAATGCTGATGAGGGATGAGTATCAGGTCTTCAAAAAATGGATCACCAAATTAGGTATGCATCTTTCTCTTAAGTTAAAGGAAGGTCTCAGTTTGGTTGTGCCAGGAAAATGGGGTGTGCCTATGTAACCCACACACCTAGTGTGGTTACTGAGCAATGCAAGCGGTACCACAGCAACAGTTAAGATCAAGAGACCTCTACAGCATGGGCTGGGAGCCAGCTAGCTTTTAGCTCAGAGGGTAGAGGCTCCTATACTCTACTTCAGAGGTCCCAGGTTCAAATCTGCCTGGTGGCTGTTACACCTAGAATTCGATTGTTTTCCATAAAATGGAAAAGGAGGGGTCTGATAGGAGGGACAGTTATGCTCCGAAATGACCACAGAGGACAGCAAGCATGGGAGACAGTTATACTGCAGAGTGACCACAGGGTGGCGGCTGCACCAAGAACAGAGTGGCCAGCTGAGGCTGGGGGCTCTCCATATTGCCAGTCATTGGCCCATGTAAGTGCCCCCTCTGTCCTCAGACTCCTCCTGAGCTGCCAGTCAGCCCAGCCCCATTCTTTCCATTAGAAGTCACTCAGGCAGGCTTAGCAGCACTACTCTTGTAATCATGGGTGGCTACAGTAATCCCTCCCAACCTTCCATCCCCTTGCCCTGAGTCCTACACCCCATACAACCCAGCCCCCTGACTCCCACATCCCCAAGTCCCTGTCCTGACTCCCACACCTCCATACCTGAAACCTCTTGCTCTGAAAGACTCAAACAACACCAGGTAAATCTTCTAGTACTAATATATTAAGTTTCCCAATTTAATTACAGCAGTTTGTTTCATTATGTTAACAGTGTTCTGAGTACCATATTACTGCCATACTACTATAATATTTAAATATTAACCTGAGCTACACAATTATCTTCCTTAATTTGACAGCTAGAGTGTAAATCAATGTCAGAATTTATGGGCCTGCTAACCTAGACTAAATTTGTTATTCTGTGCTTAGAGGGAGATGTGAGTAAAGCTCTGCCCACCCCCCAACTCCCCAAAAAATAATTTTATTTGTCTGAAAGAATTTTCAGAACATTATAAATTTGTTATTTTTCTAATTGTAAATTATATTTCCACAAAAAACAAAGGTGTCAAGTCCTCACAGTAGGAATGAGCTGATGGCATGTTCGCAGTTGTAAGTGCCCATTATTCAAGTGCAAAACAACACAAATTTCTGTAAACTTAATGGCAGATGAAGACACCTCTATGGTTCCGTCACAGAAAAAGTGGTTGTGACAGATTTCAAAAGGAGCTTATTAGTTCTACTTTGTCAGGAAATAATTTATAGCCTTTGTCACATGAAGTGAAACCAGTCCTTACATTACAAGACCCTGGCAATCAATGAGATGATTAACAGCATTATCTCTGGCTATAACTCATGTATAAGTCTCTGCTATGTGCCAGCCTATTTTTCAACTCTAAAAGGGCAGTTGCCCTTGGTCCAACCCATCTGCCTTTCATCTGTAGCCACCTCTAAAACTGCCAATTCCAGAAGACTGCTACCATACTCACATGCCCACGTGTTGTGACAGTTGTCTTTTTGCTGGTTCACCAGAACTGGATTGTGTCCATAGCATATTAGTTACGTGACTGTACCTCTAATAACAATCTGATATTCCATTTTCTTTAAATTCCCATTTTTCTAATAGTTTAACATCTCTTGCACTTTCACGACTCAAACTTTCAACTTTTTTAAAAATTCTGTTTATATTGCAAAATACCCTTCCTTAAAACTGATTTCAACATCTGAGAGACCAGACACAACACTTTTACAAGAGGCTGAATTACAAATAATTTTATCCTACAGACATAAGCATCACAATCCCTATCCACAGTATCTTTGGAGCTAAGAATGCCGATTGAAAATACAAAAATTTCTGAATTATTGTAAGAGGCTCAATGTGCAAAGATAGGGGAAATTCTGAAATAGTGTGCAATGAAAACCAAACCAGAAACTCAAATTGAGGAAGTAAAGCATGAGGGCTGGGCTTAATGGAATCTATATATACTAGTAAATGCAATTCTCTAAATATATTGCCTCTGCAGAGCCATTCTTTAAGAGTTACACGCTTTGGTTCATGAGCCAAGAACTATCACCAAGTAGTAAAATTTTTGTACATCTCATCCACTCTTTAAATATCTTGGAGCACAGGGTGAAAGTCTCTACACTCTTTAATTGCCTGTAAATTCCCCTCAATATCAAATGCAATCATCTCTGAAGATGGGAGCGAGATTAGTGTGAATATGAAGACTCACTACATTTGGATGGCTACATTTAATGCTAAGTAGCCATTTCTCTCCTCCTCAAGAAATTGTCTCTGAAGCTCTCCACTTCAGATCAGTGACAAGTTTCAGGCGGAAGACTCAGTACTCCTAAACACCTGAAGTACACCACAGATTTAGCTTCTGAATTGAGAGAACAGAACTACATAAAAGTCTGAAATGATCACGAAGCAATGGAGGTGCACATTTCAAGATATAAGCAAACATCAGTGACTACCTTTTCTCTAGTGCAGCAGTTTTCAAATTGCAGTTCAGAACCCCAAAGTGGGTTGTGACATCATGTTAATGAAGTTGCCAAGGCTGCTGTTAGACGTCCTGGGGCCCAGGGCCAAAACCTGAGACTGACTTCAGCCCTCAGTGGGAGGTCTCAGGTTACAAGGCCCCAGCTTAGAACTGAAGTCTTCAGGCTTTGGCTTTTCCCCCCACAATCCACCCCTCGAGGGCAGAGAGGCTAAGGCAGGTTAAGGTTTTGGTTTCCCCTCCTGGGCTTTTCATGTCAGAAGGAGGTTGTGGTGCAATTAAGTCTGAGAACCCCTGCTATACAGGAATGGGATTTAAGTCTTCTGGGACAACACTACTGAGCAACATTAGGTTACTTCTGAACTGAAAAAAAAACCTAAGATACATCCACACTGCAAACTTCTTACTGGAGCATGTAGAGAATATACACACCTAGTCCCCTAGCAGTGCTCAAGAACAGGGCAGACATCGAGGGACTGATTAGGCAAGTAAAGATATAGCTGAAACCTGTGTGTGTATGTAACAGAAAATATAACCTACATGTTTTTTTAGTTTCTCAAGCAGTGGCTTCCATCTATACTGTTCTTTTTAGGAGTGTAGTAACCTGCTCTCTCACCACTGTTGGAGTCTTTCCGTGCTACAGAAAAAGACTCGGGCAACGGGGAAAGACTCCAGTAGCAGGGAAAGGCTTTGCCAGATCCCTACTGCTGGAGCTTTTCCCCTCTGCTCCCGCCAGAGCCTTTCATTGACAGTGTAGATGTAGCTCGTTTTCCACTGTGGCACATTGTTACACATATTCTACGTGCCAGCACAAGTGATGTACAGCATAGGTGAAGCCTTAGATTTACAAAGAGATTTCATTTCATTCAAGTGATGAAGTGGTGCATTCCACATCAACGTATGTATCCTGAACTGTACAAACAAGATCAACAACCAAATGACTCCATCTGGCAAAGAGTGAGGCTTCTATTGAATTTCAGTGGGACTTCTCATCATGATCTGATGCCTCTGACTTGGGTTATTGGCCAAGGTGGTATTCTTAAGTGTCAGATATAATGTCAGTGGAGTTGAATTTTACAAGGTACTACTACATCATTCCCACAACCAGCCAGATTTTTGGCACAAGAAATGAACTGAAACTCTCTTTTAGCATTCAGATACTAACCTATCAAATATGAATGTATTTCAGCGACAGGCAAAATGATTTATCTGAAAATATTCTGGAAAAGATACAATGGGAAAAAAACACTAAACATAACACCTATAATAGAGGTTTAAACAAAGACCTTAACTGGATGGCCCACTACATTCCACACTCCGACGACATAAAAAGTCAAGCACCAGTACTTAGTTCATCAGACTAGATAAGCAATTATATATTGTATTAACATTTTAAGAATGCTGCTTGCAGGTCACTATCACTATGCATTTGGAAGTGTCTCTGGTGTTCACTGTTTGTATAAGAATGAATTGCAATGACTTCCTCTAGTGATCTTTTATCTATAGAATAAAATAAACAACAAATATAAAACAAAACAATGGACATGTGATTCTCCCTTTCCTTCCATGCCCTAAAATCCATTTTGAGATTTTGATGTCACAAATGAAGAGTGTTTTTATAATTAAATACCCAAGTCCTCAAACATCACAGTATTACCTCTCCTTTATATTCCACTGGTTTAATTCCTGCATACACTGGCACAAAACTGCTGGCTAGAAGAACCTAAAGAGGAGTGAAAAAAAAGGTGAACATAAAATTAGTCTGAAAATATTAATATTTCCTTTTCTGTGTCATTTAATCTTTACTGGTGAATGCAGTAATAATTATTCAATATGTTAGTCCCATCTACTTCAAAATATCTGTTAAAAGCATACAATACATAGCAAATACTGGGATGAGTATGTCAAATGTGATTAAGAGTTCACAATTTTTTTTAGTTAAGTTACAAATGGCAATCTTAGATAGCAAACAGTACACATCGATTATGTTTGCTTTAGAAGAATCAAAATTAATTTTAGATTTATTTTATTCTTTTACGTGCTGCAAAATCACAATTTAATATCCATTTAAATCTATGTTGATTGTACGTAGCACGTGGTGCAGCTGGCTCCAAGCAAGTACCAGCTCCAGCCTGCTGCCTCTAGTTCAGAGACAGCAATGTACTGCGGCAGCCAGCTCCCCCGGATCGAGTCTAGTAACAGCGTGTAATCATTTGGATAACTGATAAGCTCATGCTTATTGGTTACCCCTTTAAACAGCTAACCTCTTTCATCCCTAATATATAACTCAATATGTGATGAGATATTCGTGGGAAAAAACAGTCAAAAATAATACCTTTGCATTCTACTAAGCAATTTTTGTAACTATTATGATCTATCATTACAATCCTTTTCACTGATAACAGTAGTTACAATAATCAGGGTCGTTATGTTCACATCAAGCATATAACTAGTCAACAATGACAAGAGCAGTGCAGTTCCCAAGGCAACAGTTTGTAGTTTTCCAGCTTAGAGCAATACACTGCAATGCAGCACATGCCTAGAGAACTGACTACACTTTTCAGCACTGGCTACTGCAAGGATATGTCTACACAGAAGTGTTACTTCAGAATAACTAACGTTATTCTGAAATAACACAGTCCGGCTACGTCTAGATTGCATCCCTTTTTCGTAAAAGGGATGCAAATTAGACGTATTGCAATTGCTAATGAAGCGGGGATTTAAATCTCCCCCGCTTCAGAAGCATAAAAATGGCTGCCGCTTTTTTTCGGCATGAAGCTTTGCCGGAAAAAAGTGCCAGTCTAGATGCGGATCTTTCGGAAAATAAAGCCTTTTCTGAAAGATCTCTTATCCCTCTTAAAATAAGGGATAAGGGATCTTTTGGAAAAGGCTTTATTTTCTGAAAGATCCGCGTCTAGACTGGCGCTTTTTTCCGGCAAAGCTCGGTGCCGAAATCTCGGTTGGTCGGTCATTGGGAGGCGTGTGAGAGACCTGTGAAGTCATGCAAAGAGGCGGTGTGCTCCGGTGTGGTGGAGTAAACGGAGCAGAGAGAGGTGAATGTCTAGCCGAGTCGTAGCCATATCAAGAATGGGAATGTGATCGACAACGGTAGTAGTAGGAATATCTATTTTGGGGGTCACAGAGATAGCAGTTGTCCGAGTGACGAGTCTATCTATCCAAGGGCGATCGTCTCTCAGGGTAGTAAGATGGGTGACGCTGCCAGTGATGTAAGCGTGGGGAACCAGGGGATCTTGATCGATGATATGAACTTGCTGAAGGCACAGGAGAGAAGGAGCTTTGTCTATAAAGTCTAGTATCTCGCGCGGGGAAATGCCGCAAGAAAGGGAGATAGAATATCCCTTGGTGGATCAGGAGATTTATGAGGGCTTCGGAGATAGCTCAGGGAGCACGGTGCCGGAGGGGATGGCGATGGTGCCGGCGAGAAAATGGGCAAGCGAGACGCGCTTTGGTGCACAGGTATAGACGGTGCCCGAACATCAGTGTCGCTGACAATGGAGCGGTGGGAGACGTTCGACAGTGCCGGTACGCCCAGTGCTGCTTCCTCCGCGCAGTGTCTGCCCCCACACCACTTCCCGGGTTGGTGTCGAAATGGTGCTCGGTGCCGACACTATTGGTGCCAAAGATGCCCTGGGTACCGCATCCCTTGGTGCTGAGGGTTTAGTTGCTGGCAGTACCGAAGCTACTCGGGGTGCCGGAGGCGGCGGTTTCGTGGAGGATATAGAGTGCGATGCTGCCGTGCCCGATGTGCCAGGCTTATCACCATGGCTGACTCGGCTATGGGTAGAAATTGGGAGAGATCCTGTTGGAGATGGTCTGGGTCTCTTCTTAGATGACAGATCAGGCGATGACACCCTCCATTTTGAATGCTGCTCAGATAATATCCATTCCTAAGCCCATATCTGCCACTGTGTTTCAAAAATGGATGCCAAGAGGATAATTTTTTTCAAACTTGGCTTTCAGTTAAACCTTCCATAACTGTTAAAAGCTAACAGGCAGAGTGCTGCATATTTTTGCAGTTACAGTTTTTTGTTGTATTGGCAATGTCTATGTAACGCTACAGATACATGCTTTGAGTAGCAATTATCCCATAGAGCAATAATAATGTCTATTTTAAGTATTTTTTCATTGTTTTCTCTCCTCGATTCTTCATTTAGCAGGCATTCTTTTACCAAGCCTCACCTTAGATTTTCTCTTTCCATGCTGAGGAAGAGTTTGAAGAAATTGACTCTGCCATATACACTAGTCTGCATTCTAATCCAAAAATGTGTTAATTTTGCCCTGTTTTTTTTCCCCGTGCTTGAAAGGTGATATATGACAATATTTTATAAAGCAGGAATTTAATACAATTTTTAGATTTCTTTGTAGAGACTTTCTGAGACCCTCTGGTAGGTTACTAAACTACTACCTCAGGGATCATCTTTTCTGAAGTGGCATGCAAAGATTTAACCATCCTGCCCTGGGCTATGCTGTTCTCCCAGGAGGGAAGGAGAAGCTCTTTCCATCATGCAGCCTGTGGACCACCTGTCTCAATCCTAAACTTTCCACGGACTACCAGCTGCTAATAGAAACTCGCCGTTAATTACATAATTATGCCTGAGCCATTTTGCTAGTGCTGAAGCTAGGGAGAATGGTTTAATTTAAATTATTAAACAGACTAGGTGTTTTAATTTTCTCATGTAAGTTTATCAAACTTAATTTAAAAAATAAAATATTAAATTATGTCCCATCCAAAAGGTTGTAATGTTTTCTTTATTTAAGAAAGGCAGGGGTGTGGAACCTATTTTGGGTCAGTGGCCACTGACCCACATTAAAAATCAGCTGGGGACCACATAAATGAGAAGCAAAAAAACTCCCCCCAAAACCCGCAACCCTCACGGATATGGCCCCCGACTGACACACCTCACTCTTCTGGCACTCCAGCCATATGAGGCAAGGGGAAGGGACAGGGAGGATTGAGGTACTTGGCTTCCCATAGGCCAGATTTACTTTTCTGGGGTGCCAGGGTTAGTGGATTTTAGGGACCCCTTAGGCTCTGGGGTGGGGACAAAAATTAGAGGTTCAGCGTGAGATGTGGTGCAGGAAGGCAGGGTCTGGAAGGGAGTTTGGCAGCAGGAGAGGGTGTGGGTGGGGGTACAAGAGAGAGTTTGGGGGCAGGAGGGGCTTGGGAAAGTAAAGCAGAAAAGGTGAGAGGGTGGAGAATGTAGCCAAATACAGTAGAGTCTCGATTTTCTGACCTTCGGTTATCCGACATTGTCTTATCCGATGCACCGCCCACCATCGTGTGCTGCCTGCCAATGTGACGAATTGACGAATAAGAATGCAGCGTGTACAACTATCAGCGCTACACACCCACACCATGCACATGAATGCTTTTGTTTGATGATACCAGTACTGTAGATTGAAATTTCTTTATCAGCATGGCAAATGAAGAGAAAGAAAGTAGTTGTTTCAATGGAACAAAAACTTGAAGCCTTACAAAGACTAGATAAAGGTGAAACTATGCAAAAAGGGGCGACAGAATATGGTGTGGTGCGTGTTACCATTGGCGATTGGAAGAGAAAAAAAATGACATCGAAAAAATGGTGCTCTGATAGGGCTTCAAATTAAGGTCTGAAAAAAAAGAAAGATGATGAAAAAATGTGAGTATGAAAAGGTGAGTGAAGCTTTATTTTTGTGGTTCACTCAGTAAAGACAAAACATCATGCCAATAACTGGACCTATTCTACAAGAAAAAGCACTGGCATTTCATAATGCATTTAATAAGGAAAAGCCATCTTTACAGATAGTACAGGCTGGCTAGATCATTGGAAAAAATGTTATGGAGTGAGGCAGCTCAACATCTGCAGAGGAAAGTTATCAGCAGTTTCAGAATCAGTTATTAAATTTAGAGAACACTTTCTGTCTCTTGTAAATAACGAAGGGTTATTGCATGAACAGATATACAATTGTGATGAAACGGGCCTAAATTTTAAAATGCTTCTATCAAAAACTCTGTCTTCCTGGCAAGAAAATTCAGCTCCTGGCTTTAAAAGAAGCAAAGAAAGAGTGACCATTCTTGCCTGCAGTAACGCCTCAGGTAACCATAAACTCAAACTTGCCTTAATAGGAAAATCTAAAAATCCACATGCTTTCAAAAACATAGCTCCTACAGCACTGCCAGTTTGGTATAAAAACCAAAAGAATGCATGGGTATGCTCTGAAATTTTTCGAAGCTGGTTTTATAATGAATTCGTTCCTTCGGTAGAAAGATTCTTGAATTCAAAAAATCTAGAAATGAAAGCTATTTTGGTTATTGATAATGCGCCATCTCATCTTAATGCAGATGAACTGAAGGATGGAGACATGAGTGATTTTTTTACCACCAAATGTCACCTCATTGTGTCAACCTATGTTCTTGAAGCTTTAAATATATATCGACGGCGGCTTCTTAAATCACTTACAGATGTTACTGACGATAGAAATAGCATGCTAGATAAATTGAAAAAAATAAACCTGAAAGATGTTGTTTATGGGGTTGCACAAGCTTGGAAAGAAATGAAAAAAAAAACCCACTGGCAAGATCATGGGAAAAGTTTTTCACGGATGCCAAAAAAAGAATGAATGAAGATGAATGTAATGAAGAAACAAGTCAAGAAAATTGTGAAAATCTTTTAATCTTATTGAAACAGATTCCTGGCTGTAAAGATTGTAAGCAATGATGCC